ACACATATTGGCAGATTAATGTGTTGTGGAGATTGTAGTAGTATTGGCAGTAGCAGCAGCAGCAGCAGCAGCAGCAGCAGCAACAGCAGGAGAAGACATTTGATTCTACATGATCAGGCTCTTTTTGCCTGGCAATGTGGTCTGCTCTTGCCCCAGAAACCTTGTCATACATTGTTACCATTGTGGAAAAAGTTGGAACTGGGAAACTAATGACAACCCAGTGAGTTGTTCTTTCCCCCTTCCTTTCAAAGCTTATATGCACTTACTCAGACATTGGCTGTGTTCTCATTTAATTTGACCCTAAGGGAATGGCAGTGTGAAGTAAGTTGTAATTCACATAACTTCCACCACTTAAAGCCTATCTCTGATGGGTGCAGTACTCTGCTGCGGTCTTCCCCTGAGAAACTCAAGGCAGGGGAGGGGAGGAGTGCAGCACTGACTTTCTCTTAATCAAAAAGAATAATACTGGAAGGAGATAGGAAGCCATTGCTAAAACAACAAAGAAAGCAACAACAAGAAAATAAGAAGTTAATTTGAATAAGAACAACCCACCCACTTCTCTGTGATTATCAAAAAAGAACAATAAGGTTGCTTTTAAAAAAAGCGTTTCTTCTTTAGATCACAGCTCTATGTACCACATGGAAAACTGCTTTTGAAATTCAGAGGAAATTCAAAAGCACCTTATGATACACTGCACGAGGGAGCTGCTTTTCAGAGAATAAAAGGTTCTGCTTGGTAAGCACAAGCTCTTATGTGTACCCAAAGGAGCTCTTATTGATCGCAGCCCCTGCTGGCAACAACTTTTTCTCTTGAGATCCGTCAGCTCCTACTATACATGCCAGCAACAGAATCAAACAAAACCAGGGAACTGGTAGCTGTTTCAGGTGATCGTTTATCAAATGGTACCACATTTTCCTAGCATTTTCCTCTCAGATCATATCCAATTCTATTTCATGTGTACATATTCACAGTTGGTGTTTGGATACTGTTTCTGGTTGCATATCTTCCCACCACACTTGCCCTCCTCTCCTGCCACACCGCCACACCCTTTGAGAACCACTGATCTACCATGTCAGGGTCTGATCATAGGAACTTGCCCCTCGCTAAGTGAGCTAAGCGGACATTTGGACATGGGTTTCCCTGGCACCAGTCCAACATTGTATGCCCTAAACACTGTAGCACACCACTGGTTGAAGATCTTACCCAGTGATTCTGAGATTTACACTCATTATAACTACTGTAGCCTAAAATGAAATAGTTTGGAGATGCTTCTGACAGCCAGTGTGGTGAGTGGTTAGAATGCTGGACTAGGGGGACCAGGGTTCAAATCCCCACTCAGCAACAAAAACTCACTGAGTGACCTTGTGCCCATCAATGCCTCTTGGCCTAGCCTACCTCACAGGGTTGTTGTGTGGAGAAAGAGAAAGAGAATGGTGTATGCCACCCTGAGATCCTTAGAGGAAAGGTGGGATATAAATGTGATAAATAAATGCAAACAAATAAGACCTCATAATACTACCATTACATACATAAGTCACATATTCTGTCCTAGCCAATGAAATAGGTTGTGGTATGTGCTTGGTTGCAGTGCATGTGTAGTGCTTACATGAGTTTCACAGATTTGCAAATGTGCCCATGCCTTCCAAAAAGAGGGTGACTGCATGGCCTTCTGAGAATTTGGGAGTAAAAGTAGGTATCGGGTTGTATCCAAAGGCTCCCCTCTTCCAATGGGAGAAGTACTGTATTTCCATTGGAGAAAAGACTATTTCTGTTGGAGGAAGTTAACTCTCAGCTCCAATGTAAATGTTCACCTTAGGGCACACAAAAGCTGGCAAAACATTTCATCTCAAAAGTTATGCTCCTAAAGGTTTCTCATTTAACTCTAATAGAAAACAATAAATGTCTTAAGCATTTCACTTTTTTTTTACTTAGTTTCACAAGGTAACTGAATAAAAAAGACCCTCAGAAATTCAACCCTTACATTTTATTTTTAATGAAAAAATACTATTATTGCAGTGCCACAAATCTTGGCAGAAAATAGAATACTGTTAATTATGAATAAATTAACTAAATTAGTAACATGAGACAGATATGCAATTAAATCACTGTTAACTGAGAATGAAACACAGCTACACAGCTTAAGAATCAGGGAGCAACACAGATGTTTATAGAATGCCATGCTAGTAGGTTTCAACTATAGCTCTTCAATAGTTTTAAATATATTTTAAATCATACTTCCTATTTAGGGTATAATATAAAGAGAGGTGCTGTTTAAATTTCACAAACAGAGAATTCAAATAGACAAAGTATCTGCCACTACTCAAATCATAGCTGTCAACTTTTCCCTTTTTTTGCAAGGAATCCAATTCGGAATAAGGGAATTTCCCTTAAAAAAAGGGAAACGTTGACAGCTATGACTCAAATATCAGAAAGTAGCTGGAAACAGATTACTCCTCCATGCTTCACACTTTGCTAAAAAGCCAGCATGCATATTTCCACATGGAAGATGCTCCTTAGAGCCAAATATTAAGCTAACAGAAGTGGACATGGTGCTAACTGTAGAAGTCAAACTACATAATCAATTAATTCATTGATAGTCCATTCAGGAACCATGAAAACTGCGGCCATGGCAACAGCTCTGATTCTCAAGCAAAACACAAGAGCAATTTCTTAACTACTGGAACTGAAAGAGGATTTCAAGTTCTAAGAAAGATCAGAATCACCCTCTGCTGGGAAGATGAAACTTGCTTTTACTAATATAGATGTTTTGCTTCATGGTTTACAAGACCTTTTAGCTTTTTATGCTTTTGAAAATTACAATGACTATCAACAGGAAGCAGATTCAGGATGAAAGTTTTAAAATATAATGGGAGACCATTCAGGCAGCATACAACTAATAAGTTTAATAAATAAGAATAAGAAAAAACACTTGATCCAAAACACAGAGATGCTACTACTCAAGATAAACTAACTAGCAAATCATGCTAAGCACAAGAGAAAAATAATCTGAGTAAACATTAATTTTATACCTCTGCCACAATAACATGTATTTCAAATTGGGAAATAGAAATGTATTTGACAGAGAAGTAGCCTCTTTTATACAAGTTATTAATGCAAGGTATAATGCTTCAAAATATCCCCTGACCTATTTTCCTCTATTAGTTATCTGCAAGCAAATGGATGCTTACACTGAAATATACAATTTCCTGTAATCCAGTCAGCAAACCTACTCAAAATAGCCTCCAGGCTCCTGACCCCTTATTGCTGGAATCCTGAGCACAGACACACAGACACACACACACACACACACACACACACACACACAGCAGCAGCAGCTGCCCTTGATAGCCCACATAAATACATATTCCCAACTGCACTAAGATACAGGGGCGTGGTCACATGGATCTTGTTTAGAAATACTGAATAATCTATTTTGCACCCTTTGGACGTTTGTGCCTCCACAGACATCTCATGTCTACAGTTGCAGGTATCAGTCAGCTTATCTGAGCACATTGGCATCCATAAACCAACCCCAGCACACAGAACGTAGATTGTAAAAAATGTGCCCTTTTAACCACATATTGCAGTATCCAGTGTAGGCATCAATGCAAGGAATAGCCACCCCACATACATAAAGCTCAGCTGCACAGGCAAACTAAGTGTCAGCTGTATGACTTTCAGGCAATCCAAGTCTATATACAGTACTCCATATTTGATATCTACTGATTGTGTAACAAAGAAATCTTATTTTGAGGCTAGGGAGGAGCAAAGTGGCAGATCCATTGCTACATCTGAATCCCTGATGGCTCATGCTAATTTTATGCCAGGTCAACCCATGTTTGGGCCACTGAGGAGTGGCCCCCTTGGGGAATCTGTGAAGCTAGTGATCCAGTGGATTCAAAGCTGCCTGTGCTGCACTCTGACCGCAACATCTCATTTCGGGGCTTTCTGATTGCTATTGCTGGCAGGAAAACTTGCCAGCATTAGCTCTCCAGCCTTCTGGGTGCAGCCTGGGCATCTGCAGGAGTAGAGCACCAAAACCAGCAGCGCTCCTTTCCACCAAGAGAAATGCAACTATGCACAATCCTAAGCCACTCAGCCATCAACACTGGAATGTGTATGTAGGACTGTGCTGCAACAGTATCATGTATTCATATACAATCAAGTTAATATGTAGATTCTGCACATGATGTTAAAGGAATATATATAGTCTTTAAGCTCAGTCTATGTCTAATTCGCACTACAGCCTTTTCCCATTTTTTAAAAAAATCTGCTTCTATTTTATATGGAAAACTTAATTATCCTTTAAAAGGAAAACCACCTTTTTGATAAACTTAATAGCTTGATCAAACTCTGCCAATGACCACAATGAATATAATGCTCTGTAATTTTGGATTTGATTCTACTGATGTAATCTCATTGCATGCAAGGTGGAAGGCACCATTAAACTGCTTGTAGAAAAGGGTACTGTTTAAAATTAATGTTCCCAGGAATTGTTTGAAAGAGAACAGAGAATGGATCGAAGCAATGAAAGTAAATGCAAAGCTCAGTCTTCCACATGCGATAAAATATATTCAAAGGAAGGAAGTGGGGAATTAAAGCATTTTGAGAAGGATGGAAAGCATACAGAAATTACCCCTTATCTAAAGCAATGGCCCGGAGTAAACTGAGGATGTGCAGTAGCCACAAGCTTCTCTTCACCAAACAGATGTTGCTAATTATACAACCAGCACTACTTGCATGTAGCAGCTTGTTGGTGAATGGGTGCTAGGAACTGATTTTCTGCACATGGTTTCTGATCCAGTTAATGATACACATGTTGAAGCCTATGGTATATTTTATGTATTTTATTCAGTTCCAAGCAACTATTCATGCTGGGCATGAAGAACACGAGTGAAATACAATGTATTGCTAGAAACATTCGAGAATACTTATTGTAAAACCATTGTCTTACCTAAGACAGTCATTTTTAGGGTTAGGGTTATGTTATAGAATATTACCTGCAGGAGTTTCCATCTTCCATTCAAGTCTTCGAGGCGGTTGAGGGTATATGGGGAAAGCTGTATTTCAGAAGAGGTAAACTGATGAGCTAGGTCATTAACATTGTTCACGTTCTCTTTAAGAGGTGCAATTTCTGCTCGGTAAACCTGTGTAAAAAACAAACAAACCCAAAACGTTAGTAATGGCATTTTAGACTGAATGAGCTCTTATAACAATTTACAGCAGAACACAGGGTCTTATTTGGGGTTCCCAGTACCACTTCATAGAAACCTTGTTGCCTTGGTCTCGTACTGGGAGCCTGATATAAACCCTTAAAATAGATTAGCAGTAAGTTATTGGTGTTGCTGCATAAATACTTCAGCATCACATGGTGCATTGGAGGGCAATTCCAAATCTTTTCTAAGGTAGAAAAATTATGGTAAGGGTATTAGAAAGAGAGAAAAGTGAGGCTACCTACAGCTTAGTGGTGTCATCATAAGAGCTATGGAAGTGGCCCCATTTGCTTGGTCCCAGCACACATTTTAAAGGAGATGCTTGGACGTAGCAGGTGGATACAAATTTGTAAAAGAACCAGATAGCTCTGGAGGACACTGCAATCAGCCACATAAATTAAATGTCTATAGAAATGTCTGTGTCCTTTTAAAACTGGCTACAGAGATTCATGGCAATACATACTGAGATAATACCAGGCTTGGCTTATGGACTTAAGAAGATATTGAATAATTTGATTTTCTATATTAATTTTCTTTCATCACAACATTTACAGATTTCATTTTCTACTTTTATTTGCAGAGGTGAAATGGGTTTTGCACTGGACTAAGCTCTGTGTTCCTCCCTACTTTAGATATCTATAACAGTAAGACTCAGGTCTTCTTTTGTTGACCAAATAGGAAAGAGAAATGGAGCGGAATAAGTATAGTCGCATGATACAGATGATAGCTTTTATTTCTGGTATGTTAAACATTGATTAACACAAAACATAAAGCAAGGTTCTGTCAAACTGCCAAGAAGCCAAAGCTATCCTGGATTTTGAAAGAGTTCAGAAAACACATTCCCTGCTGCTAAACAGTGAGAAATTCTAGCATCAATGTTACCAAAGTTTAATGTGGGAGGTAGCTTTGTAACAATTTTTTTGTTTCCAAATATACAAGTAGATTCTAATCAGAGGAAAATACACACTACTACTCCCATTCCTTGTCCCCCCTCCCCTGACATTCCCAGGGCCAACCCTCAGCTAAAGCCACCTCTCTTTTCTCTCATCCTCTCCATTCAAAACTCCAAACTGCACAAACACTGCTTCCACATTTTTTACTGGGAAGGAATTATTTAAGGAAGATGCACCATACACAACTGATGTAAGCCAAGTGTATTTTGTACTTGTACCTTAGAACAAAATGTCAAGTGTGAAGTCACCCTAAGATCCATTTAAAATTAGATGATGCAACATTCCTTTGAGTTACAGGCCAACATATATATCACATTATGGAAGCTACAATTCACTCATCCTCATCTCCTTATCATCCTCATCCTCATAATCAATGAATCTATGCCCTGCCTTTTTAAAAATTTGTGCTCTTTCCTATGATCCAATTGCACATGGACCATCACATGATAACTGAAAAATATGAATGTAGTGCTAATATCTCCTTCCAGGCCACACCTTAATAAATAACCAAAATATTTTTAATTGTCTTATTTTCTTAATAATGAATATTTCTTATGGAATAAGTAGATCACTTTTAAAACTTTGAGAAAGCAGTGCTTTTGCAGTACAGACATCTTTACAACAATCATCTTTCATTTTCAAAGACTGAAAATGCAATCTGAATAAAAATCTGTCAGGAACGGTATACCTGTACCTGGCTATATATATCATGATAGGGGGAAGGGACCAGGTAACATTTGACAATTTCTTCTAGTCAAGCAATCCAATTTTCGCGTAAGCAGATGAACTATTTCCTCTTCATAAATCGACTTCCATTTACTTACCAAGTGTTCTTGATGACGTATACAAGACTCCAAAGATAAGTAAAACATTGACATAGAGCTAGGTGAAATTGAGATACTCCTGAAACAGTGAGGTAGGTTTGTGATAGAAATACAATTATGTTTTTGAACATGACATTCCTCTGCTAATGCCGTTGTGCTCGTCAGTGAAATCTATTGGAATATGTCTAAATCTAAATATGGTCCTATTTTAGAGCTATTTGAGCTATGTGGTCTATTTTTGTATCTACTTTCAATATTTTTAATGCTTGGCTTTTATGAGTTTGTCACAATATGCTCTAGGATGATATGGAACCATTTTCTCCATTTTCTCAGGGTCTTGCAAAAGAACAATGTTAAACAACAATTGATGACCTCCTTCTACTGGTCCACAATAGAAAGAGTCCTCTCATATTGTATCACAGTGTGGCATGTCGGTCGGAAAGTCTTTACAGAGAGGGGTGAACACAGCACATGATATCATGGGCCATCCCCTGAGTCCGCTAGATGACATCACAAGGGATCGTTGCCTTAGGAGAGCGAGAAAAATTCTCAGGGACGATTCACACCCCGGCCAGCACCTCTTTAATCTTCTACCCTCAGGCAGGAGATATAGAATTATAATCAGTCGTACCAACAGGCTAAAAAACAGTTTTTATCTGTGGGCTGTTAGGCTGCTGAACGGAAAATAATATAGTGCAACTGGCTTTGGGGGTTGGTGTGTTGTGCGACAAGCACACAGAGTGCAATGACATTGAGTGTTTGGGGGGGGAGGCTCAGTTAATTTCATTGTACACAGGTTGTACATTGACAATAAAGGTATTATTATTATTATTATTATTATTATTATTATTATTATTATTTAAGAAACCCACTCAAACAGTTGTTGTTTTCTGCATTCATCACCCTCCCCCACAATTGGTGGGATAATATATATAATCATTTTTAGTCCTATCTTATAACATTTTTTTTTCAGGAAGGAAGTCCAGAGGATAATGTAAACCCTTGTCTACTGCCAGTTATCACTTGCATTGCTCTAGAGCAGGGGTCTGCAACCCGCGGCTCCGGAGCCGCATGTGGCTCTTTTACACCTTTGCCACGGCTCCGGGGCAGATACTAGCGAGGGGAGGAGGCGCAATGCGCGCCCCGACACTCCCCACTGTGGCGGGTGCTGTACTGGCTGTGACGTCGCATGGGGGCGGTGCGTGCGTTAGTCACACACCGTCCCAACGTCACCTTCCTGGTTTTGCGGCTCCCAGTTTTTTCTCTCCTTCAGAAACGGGTCCAAGTGGCTCTTTTTGTCTTAAACGTTGCAGACCCCTGCTCTAGAGGCTGAGGACAAACCTTGCCTGAGCACCTGTGCAGTAGCAGCCTTTAGCACTACTATATTGGTGGTGACCCTTCTACCAAAAGGAAAGGCTATTAAAATCAGGGCAGCCCTGAACAGAGTCCCTGATAGTATGGAGTAAAAAAAAAAGGGGGGGGAAGGGCTTTGCTTTAACATTACTATTTTCCCATACCAATCTGTATCAAAAGTTTTATGAACAGTGAACAGAAGGAGTACAAGCAAGTACTGGCTTGCTTAGTATTAAGCTTGGCTACAAATAATATGAGCCTACTGTAGTGTACGGCCGAAATAAATTAAAAAAATTAAAAACTTGTCCAATAGCACCTTAGAGACCAACTAAGTTTGTTCTGGGTATAAGCTTTTGTGTGCATGCACACTTCTTCAGATAACAAAATGCACATGAAAGCTTATACCCAGAACAAACTTAGTTGGTCTCCAAGGTGCTACTGGACAAGTTTTTATTTTTTTATTATTTATTTTGACTGCGTGAGACCAAGACGGCTACCTACCTGAACAGCATTTTCCACAGCACTAACACTGATTTCTACCACTTTATCCTTGCCTACACACTTCTTAAAGGCTTATAAAATTAACTAGTATACTGCCATATCACATGCAATACAGAGCTTAGAGATGGGTTTGTGAGTGGGACCCAACAGGAATCAAGGATCTTGTTCAAAAATCTCTCATGAAGAGATTCCCTTCAGACACAGACTTTCATATCAGTTCCTATAAATGCCGATAGGTGGGTACCGACAAATTCCTAAGATGTTTCAGTTAGCCTCATATCTTAGGAATTTGTCCACGCCCACCTATCGGCGTTTATTTACCAAAGCTAGATTAAATGTATTTCCATCGGAAGTTCTAAATGGTAGACTGAGAGGCATCCCCTATCAGAATAGGCTTTGTTCATGTTCTCAGGACATCGATTGCATGAACCATATTCTGCTGCATTATGGGCAGTATGAGTAAGCAAGGGATCAACTGATCAAACCGTTACTAGCAAATTTGCCGGGAAAATCTGAAGCCTCCCGTGTTAAATACCTTCTGGAGGATAGGTCAAATGATATTACACTGACTGTAGCAAAGTTTCTTTTGGAGGTTGCAAGAAACAAAGAACATCATGCTCTAGACATAACAAAATGACTACCTCAGTCTCTTTCGCCTGCTGTTTGGTTGTCTTAACTGTATCGTGTTTTGAAACTGTTTTGTGGGTCTATGGACCACTCTCTCTCTCTCTCTCTCTCTCTCTCTATATATATATATATATATATACAGTATGCACACACACACACAGTATATATATTTCCACATATATATATTTCCCATTTCAACAAGTGCAATGATAATGGTAGAACAATGCATCAGAATTGTCCCATTATGGTCCTTAGTTGATTTTTTGATTAACAAAGTATGGGAATATGCTAAAGTAACTCCTATGACATAAATATTAAGACCTGTGTAGACCAAAGTCAGCAGACATTTACAAATGTCCAGGAAATATTTTTTATTTTTTCTTGTTGTATGAGCCCATCTTCCCAAATTTTAAAATAAATGTCTGAGTCCCTGGGAATACTGAAAAATAACTAGTAAATAAGCTTATTTCAATGAGAATGGCTCATTATGTGCTCTCCCAGCATCAGGGACTTCCCCTTATGAAATCAGTGACTCCAATTGCAGCAAATAAAAGTAGATGCTCAATTCACTTTCTCAGTTTCCCTGCCCTTCTTTCCCCTAGCCACATGTGCATCAAGATGATAACAAGTCAAATGCAGCATTCAGATAATCAATCCAAATTATTCAGTTGAGTCC